AGGGCATTTCAAACAGTCAAGATATAAACAGAGCAGGATCCTTCAAGTAACTGAAGGATCAGCCGAGATGAAAACCATCAGGCCCTCTGGCAGAAAAGAGCTGCACAATTCTGTGTGGTCAGTCCTGGCTCTTGCCCGAAAGAAGGAATGGTTGAGCCTGCGAGTTCAAAGCACGTTCAGCAAACAGAACGCGAGGAAAAGCAAGGGAAACAAGTAACGGGTTTAGGATGGGAGACTGGTCTTTTGGAGCCGGGCGACTCGCCCCACGCCGGGGAACGCCGTACCGATGGGGTCGATCCAGACGCCGAGGCTGTCGGGGCTCACGTCCAGCTGCAGGCTGGCGGCGGCCGGGTCGCTGACCTCCAGGTCCTGGTGGACGGCCTGGGCCAGCAGAGAGGCCGCCGTCCGGTTGCCGTCCAGAACCGCGCTGAGCAGGGCGGCCGTCTCCCGCGGCGTGTCGCACACCCGCACCGTCACGCTCTCGCCTGCCGGGAGAGCCCACACATGGCTGCTGACCGCCAGGAGAACACAGCCCCCCACCCCGAGACCTTCCGTACAGCCTTACCCAGTCCGTTCTCGAACTTGTTGGACTCCTCTCCGCTGATGAAGCCCACCAGCTCTGGAAACTGAAAACAGACACCATTAGCGCCCCCCCCCCTCACACCCGCGCAGGGGGGCGTCTGGCCATGGAGCCTCCCTGCGAACCCCCCCAGGGTCGTCTGCCTTCGAGGTCGTCCCACCCTACGCCAGACCAGGAGCTCAGAGCTGGAAAATGAAAGACTACCAATCTGCCCAGTGGGTAAATACCGGGCCAGACAGGGGTCACTCCCCGTTTCTGTAACAGGAATTAGGAACGACTGTGACTAAAATAAAATGTTCTGGAAATTATTCTTCCCAACGGCATGAATGTAGGACTGGCCAACAGGCAAAATGACTGGTGCTACAGCTTTCAGACATCTACACCAATAGAATCCTAGCCGTCAGGACCCCCTTTGCACAGAGAATCTCAGCTCCTTCCTTCTGGGCATTGATTCAGGTGCAATAGAACTAAGTTTTCCTTTATTCCCATGACTAGTAACCTGCTTAATTTGGACAATAACCTGCTTAATTTGGACATTAGATTATATGATTTACTTTATTTTTTTGTTTGTTAATGGGCACATTATGTTAACTGTATTATGCATTGTATTATGCCTTTTACTTGCCTGCAATTCAAATTAACCCTCAGGAACAAAACAAAGGCAAAGCAAATCATTTGGAGCACACTCGTCTTTCACAGAAAGACCACAACCCTTCTGGTCCTGCACCTGTTTGCCCACGTCGTGCTTGATCATCTCCTGAATGACCACGTCGGCCAGCGTCTTGAAGTCCTGGACGAACTTCTTGTTCTTGTCGGCTCCCGTCTTCTCCTGGACCAGCAGCTCGAACAGCGGCGCCTCCTGCCTGCAGACGCGCGCTATGTTCGCTGCTTTCTCCGAGGCGCTAAGCAGCGCCTGCAACACCGCTGCCATGCCGGAGGGAGGCCTGGGGACGAGGGAGGAGAAGCACTACTTCATAACAGTCAGAGAGATGTGTGGCATGCTTGACCCACAGGCCACACACAGGCAGGCCTGAAATCAAACAGATTAAGTCATCCACCCGTTATCAGAAAGCCATTTATTCCACAAAACAGGACTGCAGTCTGCATGGGACACCAGTCTATAGCAAGGAGACACACTGGCACACGTTGGAGGCTCCAGTCAAGCAGAAGCTAGCATGTCTCAGGGAGGACGAAAGAAGCTTGAACAGTTGTAGAAAATACATGAGAAGAACATGCAAACTCCACAAAGAAGGTGCTCACGCTGAAACTTATCCCAGGAGCCATGAGGCAATACTGGTAGCTGTCCACCTACCATGGATTCCTAAAAATCAAAACTAGGCTGCTCTGATAGTCTCTAAGGGCTAGAGGCGCACACCTGTGCAGCTACTGCAGCTGACAGATATCTCCGCAAATACAAACAATGCATGCGCTCACGTGCTCTGCCAATGAGGCAGGCAGGCCAAGCCCTCCAGCACTCAGCCACACTACATACGTAGGTCCCGGTCTGCCACAACTACAGTCCACAAAAACGACAGACGGACACGGGCAGTTTGCTCATTTCACCAGACGTCCCCAACTCCTGGTGCCCAGGTGCCACAAGCCGCCAGGTTCTGAGATTTCTGTAAAACCCCGAGACCTGTGGAAAGAGGTCACACTCCGGTCTGGACTTGAGCTGTGCGAATTTTCAAGTCTTCTCTTGAAATCCTGCCTGGTTCCAGTCCAGGTCCATTGACAACACTGTCCTTCCCTTCAGTAGTGCTAAGGGACCAAAGAGACCAGCGATGAACACTTCTAATCCACTGAGCTCTATTTATAGAACACAGCCCTTGTTACAGTGAAGGTCTAATTACACACTGTATTGCCACTAATGAGGTTGCGTGTGTGCTTTTTTCTTCTGCCAGGATTCAGGTCAATGAATAAACAATGGCAGGGGTTAGGCCGGATTAAAGAGCTGCTCTCTCTCAGCCCTTGATGTGCATTTAAAATGACTAGTTACTGACGCTGATCTCAGCAGCAGGGCCTCTCATGCCTGGTGTTGTGTGTCTGCTTTCTACTGTGGCTTTTATCCCCTTCCGCAAGGAAAAGAGGATGAGTCATTCCCCCTGGCACGGTGGTCTGCTCGTGCTCCGATAGTGGCTCAGAAATGTGCAGAGTCATGTTAGAATCTCTTTATCCGAGCTGTCCAGCCACAGGAGGTCAGTGGCCGCAGCAGAGTGGCGCACAGGGCCCCTGTACCAGGGGAGGCAGGCAGGAGAGAAGGCCCCTTGAAAACAGAGAGATGGACTTCAGCCCTTACTCTAGAACAGGATCAGACCTGGAGCTTCCCTCTGGGAGCGTGGAGTCTCCTTTCTGGAGCGTCGCAGACTGTGGTGCTGATGCCACCACATCGGGGCCTCCCAGCAGGAGTCCTGTTCCCTTTGGGAAACTGTCCCTCTTCCACTCACTTTACCCAGCAACACTCAGGCAAGAAGGCAGCAAACCGGACAGGTGTTGAGGTCATTCACTCCACCGGGCTCTTGCTACACAGGCTGTTGGTGGAGGTCAGTACAGCAAAGGGACTGGACTGGACTGCCATGTGGTCAGTATAGCAAAGGAACTGGACTGGAATGCTGGGCAGTAAGTACAGGAATAAACCTGGACTGCTGGGAGATCAGTTTAATGAAGGAACTGGACTGCTATGTTGCTGGTTTAGGGACAGAACTGGGCAGCTGGGCTGTGACCATTATGCCAGCAATGTGCAGTGCTGGCACCAGCCGAAACCCAGTCACTGACACAATCAGAACTGGACCGAACTGGACCGAAGGCGGGATGCAGCCAGGATTCAGGGTCTAAGGGTCAGGTAAACGATATGTCCACAGGGGGGCGCCAGCCTTCTCGATGTGACAGCTCACCGCCAGCGGGCCTTCCCGAGTGATCCCGCCGGGAACCGCACGCCAGCAGAGCCACACGTTTCCCTCAGGGCCGCCGCCACAGACGTGCGGGCCCGAGTCCGCCAGGGCGCCCCGCGCCTGCTGCACAACAGCGCCCCCTAGGGGCCTGTCCCTGCACGCGTGAGCTGCACGCTCTGCACACCCGGCCCTGCTGATAAAACACTTCCTACAAAACAGACAGAATAACTGCCGACTCCAAACTGACTGAGAAGGAGGAGGACTTTCACTGTGAGACACTGGCTCAATCATGCAGCTCACAGACCCCCTGCAGTAAAGGCTTGTGCCGCTGTCCAGGAACAGAGTGGCCTCACTAGGAGGGTCAGGCCGATGAGAGTCTTGGTGTTTGCTGATAAACCTTTAGAAAACCGACGATTTGGGATAAAATTTACATCGCGGGGCGAATCTCAGGCACTCTTCTCAGTCTCGACCCTGGGGCAAACATACCCTTCGATTCACTCTCAGTAGTGCCTGCAGTTTAAAGGCGCTTCCCGCAGAGGGCTATAAATCGTCTGAACTAAAAGGTCTCCTCATATCACAAAGAGGCATTTCACCCAGCCGGTCCCTGAAGCCTCTATATGCCTCTGGTCAGGCGGCCTCTGGAAATACCGATTCGCTCTGCTCACTTCTGGGTGGTCTCTGCGAGTAACACTGGGGGCAGAGACAGGCATCTTCCCAGTACCTGTCCCGCCGTGTTGATCCATATATGCAGAACGTCGTACCTGTATGTCTGTCCAGCGATACTGCGGAGTGTCACATTTTACTACCGTTATGAAACACTACATTCTGACTTAACCCGTCATAAAGCGACCCAAGGGCACCCCAGGATAGGATCAAGCGAACCCGAGTACTGTCCCTATTCAAGCGAAGACTTGAGAGATTTCGAGACAGCGTGCGAGAGACGTTAAATAACCACGATACGAGCAGACAACCGTGCTGGAGTGCTCTTAGTAACAGGACTCC